CTGGAAGGCAAACACACAGCACAAGTTCAGGTCCGGCACCTTCCGGTGACGGGGGCGGGGCTTAGACCGGGGTGGGGGCGGGGGGGCTCTCGCGGGATGGGGCGTCTCTCACCCAAATTCTTACCGTTCACACCAGCTCAGAAACAAACCCCAAATGCCTGGCCCCGGGGCTCTGTGATTCCTGGCTGGTGAGCATCACTTCTTGGGGAATTTTTATCGATTCCATTTGTCCTGTCTGATGGAGGCATGCTTGTTGTGGGCCCAGGAGTAACTCCTCCCCAGTGCTGGCCTCTCGGCCTCTCCCCCAGTCCGAGGCACCCTCCCGCAAGCGGGAACGTGCTGCTAGGTGGGGACAGCACGGGGGCCGCTTTCTTTCACCGAATCAGTCTTTCCACAGGTTGAGGCCTGCAGCCACATCCCAGGGGACAGAGGGATCGACACGGACGTCATTCCTCCCCGCACGACCGCTGGGACAAATCGCACGGATTGCTCGCCCCCTCCTTAACAGGACGGTAGGCTGGCTCTGTATGTTTCACCAGCAGATTAAAACCCTGCTTCCCTGCAAGGCCGTGACCCTCCTTCCCGAAACCGAAAACTCTCCATGTGTGGATTCGGATCTTACTCACGTCTCCATCCTACCGAGAAACCGAGACCCTTAACAGAAACGGCAGAGACTGAAAACAGAAGAGTGGGTGGCACAAAGCAACACGGATGGTTTCCAGCTTCCCTGCTGGGGTCTCTCCCCTGATACTAACCGCCGGCGGAGCACCCAGCACGTGAGAGACACCGGACCCGACGATTCGCACGGATTCATCACTTCATCCCGCCTCAGGCCTAGAATGTCGGTTAGGCTGCTCTTAATCCCATTCTTTACAGAGGACAAAAACGAGGCACAGAGAAGCTAGAGAACTTGTCTCGCCCCACAAAGGAAGTATCGTCAACAGTCTTCAAACCTAGTCCTCAAGTCGCTGGGCTTTTTGCCCGTCCAGATGCGTTTAGTTCTCATCAGACCGTTTGAAACCCCTCGCGACTTCTCTCCCCGCCCCCACTCTCCCACCGGTTGCCCACACTTTCTTCCCCCTCCCACAGAAAATGCATTCTCTACTCTTGTAAGCAAGAGAAAAGAGAAGGAGAGATTTCAAAACCTATCAGAAACTTCTTCAAAGAAGTGACTTCCGGTTTGTAGGGGCATGACGTGAGGCCTGTTGGCCAGCAGGTTCTCAGTACGGGCTCATTTCCACCCCCCTCCCCCAACCAGTGCCAATCAGAGACCACTGGGGGTCAGCCTCCTGGATGTTCTACCTTCACATTACAGTATGCAGATAATAGATCTTTACAGAGGTGCTCTGAGACCCCAGTGAATTCTCTCCTCAAATATCAAACCTCAAATTATGCTAATTAATAGTTTTATAGTTGAGTGGTTTATAGTATTCTGCTTTGCAAAATGATTATGTATAGTACACATGGAAATACTAATCAAATAGAACATGCAATTAACCAGAAAATTCCCTACCTCAAACCATTAGGGATCAATTAGTCAACACGCAGTTACTGCATACATACTCTGTGCCCAGGCCTGCCTGGGCATCCTGGATCACAGAAGGAGGAGCCAGAATATGTCTTCTCTCAGGCAGCTTAGAAGATCAGAGAAACTGATACATTTGAAAAGAAACAAATACGTTCAAGGGAAGCGAGAACAGCCTGACGGCTGGCATATAGTAGGCATTTGATGAATGCTCGTTGAATGAACAAATAAATGAGCAACTTAGTGTCGAGGGAATTCATCCTGTTGGGGCTCAGAGAAGAGAAAGGAAGATGCGGACCAGAATGATAAAAGAGGGCCTGGAAGGCTCAAGAACTGGGGAAGGATGTCCGAGTCCGGACAGGGCAAGAGCATAAGCAAAAGTTCAGGGAAGAGAATTTAAGGGAGACCACTTGGGGCAGGAAGGAGGGAAGCTTGACCAAAAAGGCACATGTCGGTCGGGAGGCAGTGAGGGAAAGGCGGGCTGTGTCACAGGATGAGAGGGGATGGAACTCAGAAGTCAGGCTAGAGAGTGAGATTCAGTGGGGCAGCTGATGGAGAACCACGCCAGGTGCCCGGGCAGCGGAAGGACACAACGGAATTGGTGATTTAGTAAGATTAGTTTGGCACTGGTGCGTGGAATGAACTAGAGGCTGCAGGGAATGAATGAAGGAAATTTTATTTGGGGTCTATGTGTGTGCAAAACCAAGGAGCAGCCAATTTTACAGTTTCCGGGGACTTACTCATAAAATCGGAAACGACCCAGGGTGTAGCCAGGAGCATGAGCTAGTGTTTTCTAACATCACACTGCCCAACTCCAGACCTTGTCCACACCCCATGACACCAACTCCTGACAACTCAGTTTACCAATCCACAAGGAAATGGTTATGAGGCATCATTTGAGAGGGATGCTGTAATAGGGCAAAATTACAGAAAATGCAAATGATGAAAAAAATGTTGGCACCACACAAGCACATTACTACATTTAGTAGCATTCAAAGACACTTAAGTCATTTCCTTAGGAAGCTCTATTTGGCCCTTTTTCAATTTAGAGTGGCATTTTTATTATCATAACTGATAGCAGGTGTTTGTGAAGAAATCGATTAGTATGCAGGGATGGAAGTTACATTTTCCAAATGAATTGCATAGTCTGCAAGATACGCTGAAATCTGTGTAGCAAAATGCAAGCAGTTATAAAGCATGTGCCAGCAACATTATTTAAATAAATTATCTGAACATAAATACATATAGGAGAGTGCACCATCCATTATTTCACGGGCTCTCTTAGAAGCCTGTGTAACGGCAGTGCTGATAGTTATTCTTGGCTGAGCCGAGTGGCCACTATTCTTGCCAAGGAAGAGACAATGCTGTTTGCATTTCTGGAATAGGAATGTGATATTATTATATACATATACATACATATATGTATATATACGTATATGTATGTATATGTATATATATATGTATGTATATGTATATATACATATACGTATATATACATATATGTATGTATATGTATGTACATACATATATGTGTATATACGTATATACGTATATGTATATACATACATATACGTATATATGTATATGTATGTATATACATATATAATTTTTTTTAAAAAGCAGCTGTAACTCTCCTCCCTCCACCCCAAATCAATACCATAGCCAATCCCATCAACGTTTTTACAACTGAGGCATATAACTAATTTACGTTCCTGATTAAATGATTTCAAGCTTGATAGTTGCAAAAAAAAAAAAAATGGTTACTCATGTGGCAGCCAAGTGGTTATTTCTACAGGGTGAGAAATTGTATATTGACTCCACTTAACTTCAGGCCACCTGTTTGTAAACATTGTTAAGTGTCATGGGCAGCCCTGAATGCACCCCTCACATGAGGCTTCTGGGAACATTATGTTCCTTGAGCCTGGAAAGAAACAAAGTCCTGATAATTCCTAGCATAATATCATTTTTTCAGGATATTAAAAATTCAGAAACTTGACCAAGTTCCATTCTTTCATTGCTCTCCCTTTGTCTTTACTCTTTAGCTCTTTCCGGGACACTGTATTAAATGAAACAGTCTTGAAAAATGTGTAATCAAGCTTCCATGATAAAATTTACCCTTGAGAGACTGCATAACAGATTCACTCTTCAAATAAGCGTAAGGACTAAAAATAACCTGCAGTGTGTGTCTTTTTGTAAGATTCCCTGAGGAGTGTACTATGTTCCGATAAGTGGAATATTTAGCTAAGAGCCACCACCTGTGGATTACCCATTTGCAATAATTAACACAAAAAGAATACAATGAGCCTTCAAATGTAAACTACTCTTCTGAATCCAATGAAATCTTCCTTTGGTGATTCTAGTGGCACCTGAATCCAGTGGTGCCTCTGGATTATCGGTAATTCACTCACAACCAACCAGATTATTGAGAAGATGGGGCATCCAAAGGGGAAGGGCAGTGCAGTTGTTCCGACCCTAGAAAAATTGTTCCCGCAATTTTCTGATTGGATCAAAAATGAGACAGCAACAGAAGAAAAACTTTGCCAAGCAAGATTAAATTACATTGCAAAAATTAGCACTAGACTACTAAAATTACCAAAGTGACGTCAGTGTCGGAAAATTGATCCAAAGATTAAATTGTACCGCTGAAAAGGAGGTTTAAAGGGATTACAGCAGCTTGCTTTACCCTTAACGAGATTCCATACAAACCATTATCCTTTATATAAATTATGGCCAAAGTGACCTCTTCCTGTCTCCTGTATTACTTACTGTGTTTCCATGGGAACAGAGAGTGGCAGGCTTAACTTCTTTAAGTAAATAATCTGGGGAAAGCCTTGAAATCTCTCTCTTACCAGCCAGAGCCGGCCTCAGAAAAATAATTAGCCCTATATGAAGAATGTAAGTTATTTTGGGTTATGTCCCGGTAAGCTGACAGTATGTTAATATCTTTTTTCCTGCTCAGGCAAGATGTAACTAAATTAATAAAACACTTTAACATATTATTCCTAACAATATCTGGATGTCTCAAGAACTGTTCATCTTTGTGTCTTTGGGGAACTCCGCGTTTAACATTCTCCCTCCGCTCTGCCAGATGCAGACGTGGAATGCCAGGAGAGGGCTGCTGAACTGTGTGTTTCTTTCCCCCACACAAGAAGCCCTTCTCAAGGGTTCATCAGCTGCTGCCCAGACGGGCGGCTGTGCTGACAGAGTCAGAACATGGGATGATATGGACAGGTCCAAGGCCAGGAAGACACCCCCACGATATCGGTCACCTTCCAGCCCCCCTGGGCTAGTGACTTAGCTACTGGCCAGGCCCCATCTGCCTCTCCCCAAGCCTCTCCTTGCAGGTTGCCTGGCTTGGGGGGGGGGAGGGGGGTTGCCCTTCTGTGGCAGAGACAGCATGCGGTGCACCCAAACTCATGCTTTTCTTTGCTCAGTGCAGCGTTGCTCCTGACAGGTGACTGTCCCAGAGGCTGGT